CTGTGGTCCAATCAAATTGTGGCGGGAACTTTGAATCAGCCAGAACACAGACGGTTCTACTTTATCTTTCGAGTTGTTGAGGTCATTCTTTCTAGAACTCTCTGCTTGTAATAAACCTATACAGAAAATTCATTAGATAAACATGAAACATACGGCAGGTGTGACCACAGTCGGGAGGGGATGCTCACCCCTCTATGACACCTGATCCCACACCTGATGTTTTTGGAGTTTCGTAAAACTCGGCTACCAAATTGAATTATGGGTTTTATCACTGTTGGTTATCCCAATACCGGTATATTATTTGTCAAAATACTTCCACAGAAACTTCATTCACCATAACACCATTTAAAAATATGCCGGGGTAATAATTCGTTTTTTATAATTTAGTAAAATAAAAAGCATGGATAATATTGTATAATTATGTTTGCATTAAACGTGCATTACAGTTGCGATAAATCTAATTCTGTAAGAAAACATGTGTATTTTTTTATTTATCCTTGTGAAATACAAAAATTAAGTAAAGAAATAAAATATGATCAAGATAAAGTACCTTATAAGCAAAATTTTTAGCGAGGATTTAATTAATTTTGGCATTATTAACGAGGGTGCTGAGATCGCTAGAATTGAATATCGCAAAAAATTAATTATTTTTATTTGTAAAAGCTTCTTAATTGAGCATTTTAAAATCGCTAAAAATACATTGCCTTATTAAAAAATAAAATAACAACTTTTATGGATGAATCGCTAAATTTGCGTCTCGCTAAAATTTCCACTTATACGTGATATTTTTCAATGACATCAACAGAACAAAATGCATCAATTAATTATAATTGTTAATTACTTACAGAATCCGATGAATTTTAAAATATAAACTACCCTCATCTTCGTGGTTTCGTAAAACACTACACTGATACAGAGTTTTCGTTACATGTTAAAAACAAACTCGCATGTAGTTCAATTCATTGTTCACAGGAAAGATGGTCAAAGAAAATCGACTGATTTAAAGTAATATTGTTTTTCCTGGCAAATTATTTGATATCAAAATCGATTATCTTATCATTCACCGTTTAAAACAAAATAAAAGCATCTACATCTGAATAGATTTAAATTTAAACACTGGGTTTATTTATATAACTAATACAAATTCCATTTTGATGTACCGGTATTTCAACAATACATTTGTTTAGTTTTGTCTTAATATTTACATGTGCCAGGAAATCAATAATGTTTTAGGACACTTTAAATATCGTTCTCTCTTCTAAAATTGTCTCCATTGACGGCGAGATGAAGGAGGTTTTCATGTTATCACTTCGTTTAGCTTTATAGAATTAGTTGAAAGTCATACAGTTTGAACTAATGACAGATCAGATGAAGCGAAACAAATTGACGAACACCAAAACGTTTAAGCTGTCAATGGAGAAAGAAATACATAAAGGATAAGGTTTGGGCTAAATACACTAGTAGAGAAACATGTCCCTTTACAGATTGCTTGCAAAATTGTGATAGGTAAAACACTTACATGTATTACCTTTAAAATATGTCTCGAACGACGTATTGATAAAAATTTACGGGTAAATTTCATAATTTCAAGATATCATAATTTCGATAAATATTATCGCTTTTAAACAAGGCAATGGAGAAGGGGTTTAAAACTGTAGGTGTCTGTGATTCACCTAAGCTACAAGCGACGCAAATGCACTACAGTGATCAAACCGGATCGCACCGATTAGTACATATATTAAACATGGCTGCTAGATAGGTTTTAGATATCTACAAAGAGTGTATCTCTTTTAAACAGACAGATAGCCTACCCGCTAGCTAGTTGATATTTAAAGAATGCTGGGATTCCTGATTGAAAACATTTATTTAGTTTTCGGAGACCAGGTCTTCCATTAAACTGTTGGGATTCCGATGGGCACTTATTTTGCTCCTTTTTATTAGCTGATATGTTTATATATTCTCATGAAGCAGAATCAGTTCAAAAACTTATTCACGAGAAGGAGAAAACAATATAGTGTAGGTAGCTGTGATCTTCAACTCGACATTTACATACTAGTATATTGAAGATGTATTATCAGTTTTTCATTCATATGTCGAATCGATATATTCCAGCGAACTTGAAGTTTGAGACACCAAAAAGTATGCTATTTGAATGTTTTACTGACTATAAACGAAAAGGGCGCATTTATTAATAACAAATTTAACCTCTATGACAAACGAGATGATTTCAACTTAACCTTATTAATGTAGTAATATTCCACTATCACCTGTATATGGTGTTTATGTCTCCCAAATTATTCGATTGACAGAGTAGTTAATGTTACAGGGATTCCAACAACCCTTATTAAATTATATTGTCGTTTTAATGACCTTGTAGGAATGGGTCGTATTTGGCTGACTTGTTTCAGACCAATTATTACGGTTACGCCTTATAATATAGAATAGAATAAAGTAGCATTTATTTCCAATCATGGTCCCACTGGGGGCATAATACAGATACTATATATTATCACATAAAATAGAGACAATGTACATAATGAAACATTAAACCAATTTACCCATGGTGGTATGCAAATATTGTAAATACAACATAGTAATATTCAAAAATCATATACAATATTTTGATATGAATTGACTTAATAATCTTAAGATTTACTCATTTTCATTTGCAAAAAGCCATATTAACTTTTTATTAATGAACATAATAAAAAGATTAAACCAATATTAACATGGTGGTGTGCAAATATATTAAAAGATAAAGGTCTATTAATGGTTGCCAGTCTACAAAAGACATCAAGGGGCGGTGCTTCAGGAATGCACAATTTCTAGTCAAATATCTAAAATGAATGAAAGGTTGCATTCCTCCTCATGTCTAATGTAGATAGGCAAAAATTATAAAAAGTAACAATGTAGTAATGATCAAACATCATATACAATATTTTGATATGAATTGACTTAGTAATCTTAAGATTGTCTCATTTTCACTTGTAAAAAGCCATATTAGCTTCTCATGAATGAGCATAATAAAAAGATTAAATCAATTTAACCATGGTGGTGTGCAAACATTGTAAAAATATTGTGAAGATGAAAAAGATGAAGGTCTATTAATGGTTGCCAGTCTACAAAAGACATCAAGGGGCGATGCTTCAGGAAATGCATGAATTCTAGTAAAATATCTAAAATGAATAAAAGGTTGCATTCCTCCTCATGTCTAATGTAGATAGGCAAAAAGAGCACAATTATAATTTACAAAAAGTAACAATGTAGTAATGTTCAAAAATCATATACAATATTTTGATATGTATTGACTTAGTAATCTTAAGATTGTCTCATTTTCATTTGTAAAAAGCCATATTAGCTTCTCATTAAAATCAAGATTAGGGAAATTGGTACATATGTCTGAGATAGATTTTAAGAAAGTTTCTCGTTCATCTTTGAATTTAGCGCATTTAAAGAGAAAATGTATTTCATCCTCCACCTCATTTAAATCACATTTTGAACATAATCGCATGTGTGCTGGGATACCCTGAAACCTTCCAACTTCAATCTGTAAATGGTGTGAAGATAATTTAAATCTACTCGGGCATCTCCTCAACTCAAAATTTTTGATGAATATATTAATACAAAGGTCTCACTGCGGATGTGACCGATCATCAGGTGATGCTTACTGATCCCAACTTATGAATTTCTGGGGGTCGGTGCCGATTACTTGAGTATAGACTCGTCACCGATTTGTATCGTTAAATGATTTTTATAGATCGATCGCTGTTTATTTTCTTCACCCTTTTGAAGTTTTCAATCCTTTTTGATTTCGGATATAAATATAGAGGCCAACTTTTTTCAATGTCAACTTCTTTCAGTACCAATTTCTTATACTACGTTTTCCTTAGATAGGTGGGGGGCAACCAAGCCTTTCAAAGGAAATTTCCTATTTTATTTTTAATTTTGGGGAAAAAAGTGGCAGCCCCCCCCCCCCCCCCCCTGTGGCTACGTGCCTGAACAACAATTATAAGGAATGTTTGATTGTGAAAACAGTGAAAGAATATGTTAGGAACATACAGTTAGTGATATTTTGAGATTATAGTTTTAAAAACATGGAGAAATAAATCGAGAAACAGCGCACTTTTTGTGCGAAATAAATATACAGTTTCTCAATGGGTGGCACTGTAGCTCTCCTGTCTGTCAATACTTTTTTTTCGAAGAGCTACAGTTCTGCATCTAATATGTCATATGCCAGTATTTTTTTCATATGTAAAAGGGCCCCATGGAAATAAGCCACACTGGCTTTCATGGGTTATCCTTGGGTTTAGGCATATTCAATAAAATATATTTATTTGATTTATAAACCGTGGGTATCCGACGAAGAGGAAAGAGACACATTTTAGATAAAGACAGAAGACAGTATTGAGTAACCAAATATGAGATAAAATTGCATAAAGATAAATATATACTGAGCAAAATGACCCCTCTCCCTAAATGGAGCAAACAAATGGGAAAAAGGTATAAGGATGTCACCCTCCACGAGTAGATAAGGAATGTACAATTTGGTATGTTTAAACTGAGTGAAATTTAAACGAATTCGAAAATGTTGAACCGATATTGACTAGGCCTGAGACAATGTGTATCTAAAAAAAAAAAATTGTTATACGGATATCATTATTCCAATTTGTTTGGTTTTACAATTTATGACTCTTCCTTTACATCCGGTTAAATTTTAGCGAAGAAAAAAAAAATGTTGTTGTCCTCAGCAGAGTAACTTGTAAGTATTTTTTCGTTCTCGTGTTTTTGTCGGCCCAAAAATTGGATGATATTATTTCTTATTAAATAATCTAAAGCTAGAGGCCTTAAATTGCTAGTTGGCTATCTTTCAAATGGTTCCAGTCTGTTACAGCTGATCATTTTTTGCTGCATCAAAATGATCGATAATCCGGCTCAATGTTTCAGGGAAAAAATGTAAAATGATACTTTTATCTAATCTAACTCTTTCTTTTGTCAAGAAACAAACAAAGACCAGTGAAATGAGACTTCTGGTTCCAACTTGGCAAAGAATAACGCGCCAATGTCCAATTTCCATCCTATGCCGCTGTCACAAGGTAGAGCCTAGCGGAAGAGACAACATTAATTTCACAGGGAGGGAATCCCGGACTTACAGTGTGTGGAGGACATGGAGGTTGTACAGAATGAGTAACAGAGGGATGATAAGACTAGAGGGGGCGGATGTGGTACCATTCTTACAGGGACTGGTCACAAATGATGTCACACAGTTAGAGGAAGACAAGGAATCCATATATACCATGATGCTGAATCCACAGGTAAACACTCGTGTCTAGATTCCACAGGTAACAACATGACAACATGTGTCTAGAACCCAAAGGTAATCACCATGTGTCTAGAATCCACAGGTAATCACCATGTGTCTAGAGTCCACAGGTAATCACCATGAGTCTAGATTCCACAGGTAATCACCATGTGTCTAGATTCCACAGGTAATCACCATGTGTCTAGAACTCTAGATACCACAGGTAATCACCATGTGTCTAGATTCCACAGGTAATCACCATGTGTCTAGAACCTACAGGTAATTACCATGTATCTAGAGTCCACAGGTAATCACAATGCATCTAGATTCCACAGGTGATCACCATGTGTCTAGAATCCATAGATAATCACCATTATCTAGAATTCACAGGTAATCACCATGTGTCTAGAGTCCACAGCAGGGCTAGACAAATAGCATTGCCCGACGCTTGGGACAACCACTTTTGGTTGGCGGGCAAGAAATTTGATAACAGGTGCCTGCCCGCGGACAAGTGATTTTCCCATTTATAAAAAAAAAGATCATGTACGGTACTCAATTATTTTTTGTGTTATCGCTTTTAAAGTATCATAAATCACAGTAAAGCACCTGTTTTCACTGCTGTTGACCACTGCATCAGCAGTACATACGAACATCGAATGGTCGGAACTCCTCTAGAATTTACCCATTAAGGTAATGTTAAAATATGCAGATGTTTTAAAACATGGAGTTATCGATGTCGTCAAAAACAGTGTATGAGAGTTTAGATATTTACAGGTAACTCTTGATGGCTCGAAGTTCTTGATCGCTCGAAGTGAGTCACTGGTCCCGAATTTTTCCCCTATATATTTACTCTTGATTTCTTGAACTCTAGATCTCTCGAAACCCTTGATCCCTCGAAGTCAAAATGCAGTCCCGCTACATAATTAGCAACTTTACCTGGACATTTAATGGCCCCAGGCAGAAGACTGTGTTATGATAATTTAGAAACGCAGTGTTACTGAGAAATTATAATTGCAGATTACAAGACGAAACACTTAATAACTTTAATTTTTTTTCGAATCAGTGTCAAAGTTTAACAGAATATGAAAATTCAGAAACATCCTCAATGTCAATATGATGACTATTGTTGGATAAATACTTACAGAACTTCGTTCAATGTATATGTTTGGAAAAGTCATAATGCTATGTACCATGCGACGCTGTAAAATGTTGTTTTCATATAACGAATGCGTAGTATGATGTTTGTAATTATAAAGAATAAATAAATAAATAATACGAAAATATCTCATTGTTTTATAAAAACCACGTGTAAAAAGTTAGCACTGCATGAAAATCATTACATCCGGTAAGACTAATTTTAAAACCTGTCAAACAAACCTGGAAAATTCTGGACTCTTGAAAACTCAAACTCTTGATCTCTCGAAGTTTTTCCTCGGTCCCGCGGACTTCGAGGTATCGAGAGTTACCTGTATTGTCAAAATCTTAAATTCATACTGTGAGTACAGATGCTAGTGGTGTTAAAATTGTTAATTGCTGTTCCCTGCCAAGCACTCAGCCATGATCTCTTAATCGACATCACAGTAGTGTTCTGTTCACAGATTCGTCTTCACCTTTTTCCATTAAATAAATACAACATTAATTTTTAAAAAAGTGTATCTTATTGCAGAATTATGAGGAAGCTGTGGAAGAATTTCGTGATTTTAGATCTAGGATGGTCTTCGTTTAGTGTTTAAGTGTCTCACTCAACACTGCCCAGGAAAGAATTTTATATCAATGCTTCATTACTGTGCAATTTAAGAAAAAGGTGGGACAAGCATATTTTTTGGTAGGACAAGTAGTTTTACGATGGTAACCTGTCCGAGGGCAAGTACTGCAAAATTCTATTTGTCTACCCCTGCACAGGTAATCTCCATGTATCTAGAACTCTAGATTCCACAGGTATTGACAGGTAATCACCATGTGTCTTGAGTCCACAGGTAATCACCATGTGTCTAGATTCCACAGGTAATCACCATGTGTCTAGATTCAACAGGTAATCAGCATGTGTCTAAAACCTACAGGGAATTACCATGTATCTAGAGTCCACAGGTAATCACAATGCATCTAGATTCCACAGGTAATCACCATGTGTCTAGAATCCATAGGTAATCACCATTATCTAGAATCCACGGGTAATCACTATGTGTCTAGAACAAACAGGTTATTACCTTGTGTATATATAATAGAAGAATTTCTATATGGATAAAAAATATCTTTTTTTGATTAAATTTTACAGGGAAATTCATGTACAGAGAACTTAAAAAATTCCCGCTTTTAACATTCAGCTTTCACATTTATAAAAAAAAATGTGAAATAAAAATCTTTGATAACTGATTAATTAGAAATTTATTTTTTGCAGGGAAGAGTGCTGTATGATATTATCATGTACAGGAATAATAAAGACACCAATGTTCCTGGTGTATTGATGGAGTGTGACCATGAAGTCATAAAAGACATGATTAAACTTGTTAAAAAGTATAAAATTAGAAAAAAGGTTAGTGTAGATAAAAGTTTATTTGATGGAAAATTACTTGCTGCTTATTGTCATTGGAATTTTTTGTGAATAAGAAATGGTCTTACTGAAGATGGAGATAAAGATGAATTTGTAGCATATTTAGTATTCTATAAACATAGGTCAAAATTTGATCTGAGAAAAAATATAAAGGAAACATACACTAATTATTGCTAGAGTTGTCCCTCTTAGAGAGGCATATCACATGAGTTTAATAAGAGTGATAAACAATAGACAGATTTTTGTAATATCGAGATTTGTGTGGTGTTTATTGTTTATCAATTTATATTTTCTAGGTAGACATAGCAGAAGTAAGTAATGAATTCCAGACCTTTGCTGCCTTGCCCTCAGAACAACAAAGTGAAAGAGTGTGGCTGCCTATCAAACGAGGGGAGACAATTCATTGTGAACCTGATCCTAGATTAGAGCACTTTGGCTGGAGAATCATAGCCAGGGATCAACAGTCTGTCCTAGCAGGTAAATAAAGAGCTCAATATTCTTTAAGTTTCATGAAAGAGTCAACAGTTTACTGACAATTTGGGCTTCTGAGTGTGATTGATATAAAAAAAATAAAAATAAAAACCTTAATGATTTATTACTGCATTGCATCTTGATATTAAGATAAAATTATATATGTACTTTACAAAATTTACCCAATTTTTTTAATGCTGTGAAATATATAGAATTTACACCTGTTAGCATTTATATTACATAAAAATCATTATGTAGCAGCTTTTTGTAACACAAAAGTTGAAGCTCATCAATACCTGATGAAAGTCAAACTCTGGATGAATTAGTGTGATACATTTTTGTATGACAAACTAAGAGGAAGTTTTTCTTTTAGCCACTGACACTGACTGTGAGGTACAAGTGGGGGAGGAGAGGGAGTACCACATCCAGCGCTACAAAACGGGGCTCCCCGAGGGGACTCTAGATCTTCCTCCTGGCCAGTGTCTACCACTGGAGAGTAACCTTGTCTTTCATAATGGAGGTACAATAACAACTATTGACATTTTTTTTTTGGCAAACTTGTAAAGTTATTTTAAAAATATATTTGAAAATGGCAAACTATTTACCAGTCCTTATAAGACAATAAAATGATTGATTTAAATCAAATTCAGAAAAAAATAAAATGAGATTGAAATGTATTTCTGTAATTCACAAAGAGGTGGAGCTAGGTTTCTGGGGGTAAAGCTCAGTGTAAAGCATTGCCAAAGAAAGGCAACTGATGAAAATCATAGTACTCAAAGTACATGTACCTGTCTTCCTGCATTCAAATTTCCATATTAGCATTATAGCAAGTTGTGATGAATGAAAAAAAAAAATTCAATATCTATTTATTGGAGATCATAAAGCCATTCAACTCATTTAGTATAAAAGTTGATTCTATGTTAATTTTTCAGTGAGTTTTAGTAAAGGCTGTTATATAGGGCAGGAGCTGACAGCCAGGTCTCACCACACGGGGGTAATCAGGAAACGACTCGTTCCTATAGAGTTTGACAGGTAAGGATAGGGACAGTTTTACAATAGAGTTTTGTTTCTTAAATGTTATAAATGCAATAGCACACAATTTGAATTATTCTGATAAACAATGATATATGAAGACAAATATTAAATGTGTATTGCATGAATCTGATACTGTTATTTTTTGACTATACGTCGATGGGGAAGACAGGGCGAATGCTCATTCTTAGCTTTAATTTCTAAAAAAATTCATAGATATGGCGAATTTGGTAATTGATATTCAAAATACTTAGTATGTCAATAGTTTGAGAGATTAAGCTTGTTCTAAATGACATTCATATTCTTGAATACCTTGTGCAGTATCAAAGCTGAAGTCAATACTTTGTTATTAAATTTCTCACATGCACAGAGTTCCAGAGGATATCAAAACAGGAGAAACCATAGAAACAGCAGATACAAAGAAGAATGCTGGGAAGTATAGAAATTCATTGGATAAGTTTGGCTTAGGACTAATACGATTGGCTGAAGTCAAAAAGAAGCTTGTTATTTCTACCCCTAGTGGACAGCAGTACAATGTAAGGGCTCATATTCCCAGCTGGTGGCCGCAGGAAGGGGAGGTTACTGTTCAACAATAAACATTTAAGCGATTTGTGTGATAATCTAAAATTTGTTGTGCCAGTCATTAGAATGGGATAGCACCAGTACAGAATAGTACATGAATAAGATAAGGTTTTGCCTGTTCTCTGTATTTGTAATTGTGAAATGGAAATTTACATGTACCAAAATAAATTATTTAAAAATGTCGATCTTCTAGATTATTTGAAAATTCTATCAACTTAAAGTAAAGTAACTGTAATATAAAGTACCTGATATAACAATATCATCAGCAAAAATTTGGTTAAAAGCATATGGAATGAATCATAATTTAGCAAGACAAAATAATTAAGATTTATAGTAAATAAATCTTTTTCTGATGCTGAATCATTAAAAAACGTATTCTTAAAAAACCCTTTTGATTAAATTAAGAAATGGAATTTATTGTGCCAGGGTGAGGCCAGGTTGGACATGTACAGTTGGACTTCATTATCTTGTACAGTACTTTATATATCATGGGTATGTCGACAGGAATAGAAAGGCCCAACCATTTATTCTTTACATTTTCCACGATAACTTGAATCTCTTTAATATCTTGAAGTTGTTTTATCAGTGCCATTGTGTTTAAGATGTAATGAAAAAAAGAACATGGCACCTTTGAAAGTCTTCACACTTGGACATCTAGCAATTAAACTTTGTAAGAAGCTAGCCTTCTACCAGAAATATGATTTCTGTGTTAGGTCCCATAGTGAGGCAAAGTTTGTTGTGAAATTACATGACACCTCCGAAAAACTTCTTTATTTGATCATGGAAAAGCAGGAGGCAAAATAAAACATGTATAATGAGCAGCCAATCCTCTACCATATTGAGAAATTCAATTCTCTTGAGAAAAGGTTCAGACTGTAGGGTTGGGATAAGATTGTTGTATACCAGGGTACTAAAAATTTATTATACAATGCACCTTTGAAAATCTTATTTATTCCTGAAAATTTAGTAGTAACCTGTCTCTATAGGCAATAAGCTTTTGGTCAATTACCAACTTTTGTAATTTGTGTCCTGATGACTCAGGGTAGGGCTTGTATCTTGCAGTTTCATGTGGGACTGAGTTCAACATAGCTTAATGGTCTGACAAGGCCCACAGGCCTCCTGTTTTACTAAATCCACCCCTCAATCTTTATGGTTGAACTGCATATAGATGTATACAGGCAGCAATGAAAGAATTAAGAGAAATAAATTGGGAAATTTATTGGATATAATAAATAAGTTGTATGAAAACAAGTTTTATCACAGACAGAATAAAAATACTTCCATGTAAAATAAACAAATATTTTGCATTTTATCTCAGTAAATTTGATAGGTTCTTCAAATGTTTTTAGTGCTATGTATCAAATATATGTACATGCATACATTGTTTTTTCAAAATTTTGAAGCATAGTCTGATTAAAACAGAATTCCCTATTTAGAAAGTCCAAAATAAAAATCCTAGGAAAGGAAGTGTTTATATGGTATAAATTCAGCACTGCCTAGCGGGATGGCAGTGCTAAGCAGCTGTTTTAGTGGACTTAAGGTTAAATCCTCCTCCTGTGAACCGAGGCCCGTCTGTCCTCTGGGGTTGGATGACAGGGGCCCCGGCCTGGGCTAAAGCCCGCTCCCTCTCTCTGTAAAGGAAAAATACATGGTCAACTACTAATTTTATTACTGTCCAGGAATAACTTTCAAATCATTCAACCATATTTGGCTTACGTAGCACTGCATCTCTTTAAACTGTTTAATAATTTATCACAATTTATACCAGAATAAATAAATTGACAATTTATTCCATAATGAACTTACTTTGTTTGTTGTTCTTTCTTTTTCTGCATGAAATATTTCTTCTTGACTTCTTGTAGTTCTCTAGCTATTCTTTCTATCTCGTATTTGTATTCGTTGACTTGGGATTCGTACATATTTAATTCAGAAGCCATAGACTGTAAAAAAATATTTTAAACTCATTAAAGAAATATCACCTTTTGAAAGTGAACATTACTTGGTAAGACCTCTTGAGAGTGCATTCCTACCTTCATTTGTTTGGTCTTTTCTTTGAGCGTCTGTTGGTAAATGGTGAGCTGCTCTGCCACCTCGGGACCAGGCTGTCGTGCCAGGATGTGTTTTAGCTCTAGATATAGTTTTTCCTTCTCTTGGATCAGTAGTTCCTTTTCCACTACCTCCTCTGTCTTGGAGATCAATCGCTTCTGCAGAGTCTGAATCTTCTGGATCATCTCATAGGTACTTGGATCACTACCCTGGAGAGAAAAAACAAGTTCATATATACAGCTACTTCTTTTAGAAAAAACTTTAAAAATTGTTTGACATATAAGATATCTGCTGGAGAAGTGAAACACTTACCTCCAGCTTTCTCCATCTGTGAATATTCATTGGATTTTCCAACTCTTCCTCAAGAGCCTTACATCTTGTTCTTTCCCTCAGTAATTCTCTCTGAATGTGGTACACCTCAAGTCTGGAAAGGCAAGATTCAAAGAGTTAGTCTTTACATGTTAAAACTCAAACATCATAAATTTGGGGGAATCATTTCAAAATCAGTTTTGATTATGACCTATGTACCTGAGGTCCTTCACATTGGCTACTCTCTTCTCTAGGATAGCATTTGCCCTTCGGAGTTTCTTGATTTCCAGCTTCAGTACTCTGATATCCTCCAGTCTCTGGTTGTACTGTATCTCTCCCTTGTTCAGTGTGGACTGCTGTATCTTTATCTTCTCATACAGAAGAGCCAACTCATCGTTTCTTCTCACCAGCTGAGTTCCTAAAATGTCTCTCTCACTAATCACCTGAAAAGAAGAAAAAATATAGCAGATATTAAATTAAAGACACTAAATTAATTCTCAAATGTTTCTAAATAAGTCAGTCCCTCAACCTTATCCTAAATGTATATGACTGTCTTTTTCATTAATAACTGCATGCCTAACCTGATCCAGTTCCTTCTTCTGTCTGACTCGCTCAGCATCTGCCTCGGCGATGATCTTGAGCAGCTTTCTCTCCTCAGCCTCCTGGGCCTCGATGTAAGCCTTGCTCTCCTGAGCCTGCTGTTTAAGGCGGTTCAGCTCCGATTTCAGGTTCTCCTTGTCCTTCTCTACTCTCTGGTGCTCAAAGTGCTCCTTAAGGAGAGCGTTCTCTTTAGCCTGAATTTCCTCCTTCAGCTGATCAATTTGGTGGTTCATGATCTTCAGCTTCCTCTTCATCTCAGTGATCTCATCCTAAAATTTATCATCAAAATATTTTAGTTACCGGGTATCAACTAACAAATGAACAGATAAAAGCTTAAATATCATGCCAGACTCTGAGTTCTTTTAAATGCTCAAGCATTCTTTCTTTCAAGAAAACAAACTGGCTTACCTGAGACTCGATGAGGTTCTTGCTGTACAGGTTTCTATCACTCCTAACAGCCTCATACAGGTTCTGCTGCTGCCTGAGTTTAGTGTCAGCCTCAGCAATCTTCTTCTTGTAGTCGAAAATCTGCATCTCTCGGACTTTTACATCTTCCATATGAGAAAGAACCTAGAAGAGACATAAAAAAATTCATGAATATATCAAATATACACTATTAATTATTCTAGTGAAAGATCACAAATACATGATCTGAAAAACGGATAATATCTGCATCTCAAAATATTTATAATTGAACCTCCAAAAGTACCATTTTTAATTTCTGCATAATAATGCAAAAGCAGATTTAAAAGTTGAATATTTTGTGATGCTATTTCAGTCAGTAGCAGATTAGTAACTTCTCTTGATAAATACCTAATGGATGTTTGCTTTAATTCCAATAAATAGAAATCCCAAGCTTGGTGTACCTACCCTCTGAGTGAGATCGCTGGCCTCGTTGATGTAGCGATCTCTCTCCTTCTCCAGCTGGTAGATGATCTTTCTCTGTTTCTGAGCCTCCTCCCTGTAATTCTGAATGTCCTGCTCCAGGTTTTTCTTGGACTGCTCATGGAGCCGCACAAGATGGATCTGCTTTTGAGTGGCACTGGCTGCTTTCAACATACTCTGTATAATACAAATATATAGTTAAACTCCTATGTTTTTAGATGTATGTATTTTCGAAAGCAATATATATGCATAATGAACTTTACTGATTTTCCCAAGAACATACCTTTTGTAGGATGTCACGCTCCCTTGTTCTATCATCAATAGTTTTCTTATCAGCCTCAGCTTGTTTCTTGGCTGCTTCCAACTCTGTTTTAAAAGATAAAATAAAGATTGACAATCTCATTTTCAATAAAACTTGCTTGAGCATACATACATATATATATATATATATATATATATATATATATATATATATATATATATATATATATATATATATATATATATATATATTGTCAAGAAACTTTTGCAAGAGATTACTAAATTTGTGAGAAAATTATAAAGACTTCCAGTTACCTCTCTCCAAACCAATAATTTGACTCTTGAGAGTTTCCCTCTGCTGTTCTACGTCTGACTTATTTTCCTCCACTTGCCGAAGTTTCCTCTGAATGGTCTCCCTCATTTTGTTCAGGCGTTGTGTCTCCTGTTTGAGCTGGTTCACTTCATCTTCTTTTTGCTACAGACATAACAATTTTGTATAAAACAATATTTTTGAAAACAAAATCTCAATGTATATCAAATGTTTTCATTGCAGGAATGTACACTGAAAACTGATTTCTTGTCCACATTAATCTTTCTAACAAAGTACTTATAAGTACTAAGCTGTATGATGTGTTACCTTAAGCTCAGTGACTCGGGCTTGGTTCTCAGCTGTCAGCTGATCTGTAGTGATCAACTGAGATTCAAAGTCCGACTGAAGCTTGGCAAATCTGGTGTGTAAAATGTCAGCATCCTTTATGGTTCTCTCATTCAAGATCTGCAACAAAAAAGTTCATTAATTATACAGTATCATTCAAAACTTTGTGAAAATTTCAAATATAATTCATGATTAATTATTGGGTATTACAAGACTTGAAGTCAGTAATTTTTACCTTCTGTTCCTTCATCTGCTGCTCGAGCTTACTGATGTCACTTTTGTAGTTCTCTATACGCCCCTGCAGGTTCTTGATTTCCCCCGTCTTGGCATCCAGATCAGCCTTGGCTTGCTTCAGCTCTCTCTCCATCTTGTCCTTCTTCCTGCTCTCTCTCTGGGCTTCATTGTTTTTAACTTGGATCTCTTGGTT